GTGGCCCGAACTGCTGTGGGGCAGGCCAGTTCGGGTTGTTGCCCTTTGTGTTCGTAAGGCTCGGGGCCTAAGGGAGAGCTCGGGCTCCTTACTGGGAGTTCGGGCTCCTTGCGGGGAGTTCAAACCACTGGTTCCTCCTCTCGGAGCTCAYGCCTTGGCGAGCTGTTGTGCCGAACTGTTGCCTTTGCCACGTGTTGAGTGGTTACGAGGTCGGGCCAAATCTTCCTTCATCGATTGCCCCCCACTCCTCGTGCTAAGGGTCTTGCCCTGGCGCGGGGAGTTCGCGAGGTGGCGGGTGGATTTGTCTTGTACTTCGGTTTGACAGATAGCGCGAGGTGCGTCATCAAGATTTTTTGGGTTTCTCGAGCGCCTAAAAGACGGGAAATGCGTCGATCTGCCTACAAATGCTGACAGGCGTGACAGCGCGTGCCTTTTTTCAAAATTCAAAAAGCGCACCGCTGGGAGACGTGACAACGCGCGCTTTATTTCAAAATTCAAAAAAGCGCGCCGCTGGGAGATGCGACAGTGGGCGTCTTTTCAAATTTGAAAACGTGCTACTGCCACCTTTAATGTGAGGAGACGTGCGGTCAGTTTCGAGAGACGTGTGGCCAGTCACGTCTTGGTCTCAGGAGACGTGCGGTCAGCGCAACTGCGGGCCGTCGGATTGGCTTTGATCTGAGCCGTTGATTCTTGGTTACTGTGGGTATAAATAGTGGGGGGACCCCAGTTGCTTGTCACTTCTGCGCTTTGCTTCTTGAGCTCGCGTCCAAGTTTCAGCTCGCATCCAAGCCTTTAGTTCGCCTTCAAGGTCTTCTGCTCGTGTTCATGTTCCCGTAGTCCGTTCAAGCATTTTTCCAGGTGAATACTTTCCTGGGATCCACCTTCTCTCCCCGATGTCTAGCTCGGATAGCTCAGACGGTTCTTCAAGGGGGTCCGATGCAGGTTCTACGAACCGAGTTGCATCCCCTGATGGTCCTAGCGAACCGGAGGTAGAGCTCAAGGAAGAGTTCGAACCCGTAGGCCGAGCCGCCTCGGGTAGCTTGGCGTTACAGTCGGCCAGCTTCACCCGAACTCCATTCATAACTTGGTGGGGACAATCTCCTTATTTTGCGAACAGGGCTT